CTCTGTCTCTCTCTCACACTCACACACACACACACACACACACACACACTAAACGTGTGTCCATGGCTGTACATATAAAAAGGTGACATCGCGGGCACACGGCTGCCACAGCCAGGTATGGGAGGTCACTCAGGACTTGCTGCTGGCAGGCTGTCCATCCTGGGGGTCGTCCTGGAGGAGGGGAGTCTGGGAGCTGGGGAGCTGGTCTGACTGGGGGCCCAGCCCTTCGTGGAGAGCAGCACTGGGTGTCCTCTGTGGATGAGAATGGACTGGGTTACTTCTTTTCCACTGGCACATCCCTACCACCCTCTGCCCCCTTCCCATTACCACCTTGGCATGACTCCACCTGACAGGGAGCCCACCTCCCTCTGGGGGGTTCTAAGGCCCACATACCTCCCCTTGGGGATGGTTTATTTTCTGGAGTGACCCAGAGAATCAGAACTGTAATTATCTCTAGCATGCCTATTCAATTACATACTGTCTCCCCCATGAGAATGGACAGTAAGTTCATGGAGAGCAGAGACTATTTTTTGCCTTTCTTTTTGTCCCCATTCCCTAGTATACACCAAGTGCCTAATAAGTGTGTGTTGATTGATTGACTTTGTATAGATCTCTTATTTTACAGATGGGGAAATGAGTGAAATCCATCTCCCTGAGGTTTCTTCATCAGTCTAGTGGCAGAGATGGGATGGGGACCCCGCCTCCCCATTCGAAAGCCAGGACTCTTTCTGCACTATCCTGCCTCACCTTGCCTCAATAAAAGGAGCATTCACCTGATTCCTGCCTCATCTTCCTAAACCCAGAGGTATCTGTCTCTATCTAGCTGGTATTTTCCTTCTGCTCAGATCCCTTGCCAGTCTGGCAGATGCTCATCCCCCTGAACCTCTCTCTTAGCTCTCCTCTCTGAATACCTCTCAGGTGAATGAGAAACAGAAACCTAAGAAATCCTGGCAGAGGTATGATGGTAAATGTTTAACAACCAGCTCTCCCAAACCCATCATGCGCTTTTATGTGTAATCGGTATTTATTGACTCTTTCTGAAGACTAGACAATCAACAAAACCAGTAAACAAGGCCTGAATTTCGATGTTTGGGGATTTTTGAGGTGTAAGTGCTCACACTGAAAATTTAACAATCCCACTTACACCCAGCTCACCCCTGGTTTGAGGTGCCACTAAATAATGCATGTGATTAATTCTTACAATTAATGCATGTTTGAACTGAAGATTCCCACCCCCCCACCTCCCCCCCCCATTCTGAGAATGTTTCCATCAGGAAAATTTTGGATTCCATCATACTACTGGTACCCAAGAGATCCTGGTCCATGTTCAGCCCTGAAAGGTCAGGTGTTGACCCCATCCAGAAAGAGGAGGGGGGTAAGGGAAGGCTGGCTCACTACAGCTTAATACACAGGAAGGTCCAATTTGGGAAAGTGCCTCCCAAATTAGGCAAAGGAAATAAATCGAGTGTGTAATAGCCAAGCACACAAGGTGAAGGAGGAGGGGGGATGTGTCTTTATCAAAATTTAAGGTGGCCACACCCCCTAACATACACATTTTAAGGCAGAATCACAAATCCTTCCTGCTTTATTTAGGGCGTCAGAGTTTAGTGGGCAGGGGGAAAATCTAGCGATGGTGTTTGGACACTGCTGAAGAGATGTCCTAAAATGCATAATCATAGTACAAGAAATGTCACCCTTTATCTTGTGTGATCCCTCTCCACCATAGCTGGTTAACCCCTTGGGGACCTACACCTCAACCCTGTGGGTCCTGAGCTCCTTTCAGTGTATATCAGAGATCTGGCCAAGGGGAAAGCAAGTTAATTAAAGCCCCTGGAATGAGCCTTCAAGCCCTCATGCCCAGAACACCCAGGGCTCTGATGCCAAAGGGTATCAGGAGACTCAGCATCATGGAATGCATAGTCAACCCCCTCCCCATTCACATGTACTCCCATTGGCCAAGTTCAGCAATGGTTGGGGGGAGGGGGAGGCATGCTGCCTCTTGAATCAATAAACAAACACATATTTGGGGCTGGGGGTGGAGGCCTAGGGAGAGAAAGGGTAATTAATATTTGTAGAAAGCAGGGCCAACCAGTATGCCTGCTCATCAGCAGGGAGAAACAAACATTTGAATAATCCCTCTGCAAGCCTGCTCTGAGTCCCATGAGAGTAGACTTCAATAAACTAAATTAAGCTGATGCCACTAATAATCCCCCCTCCCCTCTCTCCCTCCCTCCCTCCTCCCCTCGTCCCCCAGGCCCACAAGTCTAAAAATATGCCAGCACCTGGCTGGCTTCTCTTACAGTTGATGCCTGAAAGGCTCCCAGGAGGCCCCCCCAGAAACCTCTGTGGAGCCTCCCCTTTTTGGGGGTGGGGGTGGGGCAGGGAGGAGGAGCTGGCCCTCTTCCTGTATACAGGGAATATTCAGGCTTAGGAGCCCAGAGCCAGTCTCTCCCACATCTAGGGACCCCATGACTTCTAACATTCTAGCTCTCAATCTGCCAGGATAATTATGCTAATAAGAATTAAAGGCATGCTAGCCCACCCAACTTGTTTTCCAGATACAGATTTCCAAGACCCAGAGAAGTTAGTCTCAGAGGCAGAATTTGAACTCAGCTCAAGTCCACATCCTGAACTCTGGCCACTCCATCATACTGCAGCACCCTCTTCTCTGTCTCTCAATTTTAGCCTAAAAACCCCACCCCTTGGAGGGGAAACCCCATTACCTTCTAAGGCAATGATCCTACGGTTAGGGTTTATGGAGGGAGCTCCCGGGAAGTCACAGAGAAAATGATTAATCGCTAACCTGGAGTGGGGTGGGGGGAGAAGAACAAAGAATTCTCTGCTGCCCTTCTCCTCCACCCCCCTCTCTCTCCATCCTCAGAAACCGGAGGCAGAATCTGTCTTAGGCCAGGGAGGAGGCTGCTAAGCAGAGAACCCACCAGGCTCTTAGGAGGCCAAATCAGGGTTGGTGGAGATGGGCATCAGGCTCTAGCTTTCCCCTCTGCACTCCTCTCGAGGGCCAGTGCCAGCCAAAGCATGCACACAGAGAGGTAGTGCCATGCAAATCCCAAAGTCTAAAGCCAGAGGGGCCCCAGGGAGATGACTTCCCCCAACGTGGAATAAGCTGGGGAAAAGAAAGCCTTCTGTTTCATGGGGCTGGTACAGAGGGAGCTTTAGCCCAGCCTGTGGGTTATAACTCAGCCGCATTCCCCACCTCCCACATACAATTTAAATAAGGCACTTTCATAGATGAGAACCTGATGACTTCATTTTCACCTTCTAGTCCCTGCCAAGTAATTTAAGCAAATTTGTGGGGGCAGGAGAGGGGAGGCCCCTGCCAAAGCACTGAGTCAAGATCAACAGCATTCATCTCATCCTTAATCAGTGGGCCTGCTATTTATTTCAGAAACCTGTACCTGCTCTCTCTTTAGATTTTTTTTAAAAATTCTTTTAAATCATAAGCCAAAAGATAGGCCTGGCCTCCGTGGCTTGTAAACAGTCTCGGACACCAAGGAACAAACATTCAGAGGGAGAAAAAACAAACAAAAAAAAAAAAGTCTGCTGCTTTAAAGTTAGCCCAAACTGGGAAATCAAAAGTCACTTTGCCTCGGTGGCCTCTTCTGTAAAATGGGCATAGTAACAATTCCACGCCCAACCTCCCAGGGTGGTCATGAGAGTATGATAATATATGGGAAGTGCTTTGAAAACCTTAAAAAAAAAAAAACTACAGAAATGAGAGCTTTGATTCCTATTAAACCTCAAACAACATCATCATTTCTGCACCCCTCCCCAACTTTGAGACCTGTTGCACTCTCAGCGGATACTTCATTTAAAAAAAAATAGAGGAAGTATGGGACAGCAGAAAGAGCACTGGGGTTGGAGTCAGAAGCCCTAGGTTCAAATCTTGCCTTTGTCTACTCACTAGCTGGATGACCTTGAAAAAGTCACACAGGTATAGGAAGTGTTGGATCTGAACTTAGATCCTTCTCACTCCAAAGCCAAAACTCTTTCCATCTATACCCCTTGCCACCAGAATGGCTATTTTAACAGCTGGTCTGTTAAAAGTAACAGACGTATGTTTAAAGTCTCCAGGTGCTCCAAAAGGAGTGGAAGCTGGAGATGACCAGAGATCGCTAGGTGGCGAAGCAGATAGAGCGAGAGACCTGGAGTCAGTAAGACAGTTCAAATTTTCCCTCAGGCACTTCCTAGCTGCATAACCCTGAATAAGTCACTTTCCACCTCTGCCTCAGTTTCCCCATCTGTAAAATGGAGAGAATTACACCACCTACACCTCTCAAAGTTGTTGTGAGGATCAAAGGAGACAATATTTGCAAAGCCTTTCACGAGGTTTAAAGTGTTATGTAAATTAATTTATATAATTATAATATGATTATCATCATTATTTTCACTAAGATCCATGGTGTGTGAAATGCTCAGTGTACAAACGTCATTTTACCTGGTTACCCACCTATAGTCGGGCTTCCTGCAGCACTGTCCCATTAGGAGCAGGGGTCATCAGGGATTCTGAATAGGACTGAATGGCCTCTGAATTCTTTGAGACCTTTTTATTACTACTCCAAAATAAAAAGAATGTTCCCTAGAAGATAACCAAGCTAATTTATAGTTCCAGTTGGGAATGAACAGTTTTGTTTTGTTTTTTTAAATATGATTCTTAATTTTCTTTTTAATCTCGATTAGCCCCATGTGAAGGTTAATGCTCAAGCCAGCTGACTGATTAAGGTGACTTTTTGTATTATATTTGGGGGTGGGATTTTTAAAAATTGGTTTCATAGTTCATTTGTTTCAAAGGCGTATTCAAAAACTGATTCATCTTCCGCACCTCACCCCCCATCTCTCTTACGAATGGAAATCAATAATCAGAAATGATTCCACCATAGTTCAAGCCAGTCTTAAAGGATCCCTCTAAGGACTAAAACTGGGGTACAGGCTCTGGATGTAATGTGAAGGGTAAATGGTAAAGGTTCTAGGATGACAAAGTGCCTTAAGTCCACATTCTATGGATTGGACGAAGGAACTGGGTATCTCTAGCCCGGAGAAGATTTGGGGTTTGGGGGTGGAGGGACAGGATTGCTGTCTTCAAGTATCTGAAGGGCTGTCTCATGGAAAGGAGGTTGTGCTGGTTCTTTCAATTATCTGAAGGGCTGTTATGTGAAAGAGAACTAAGGCTGTTCCCTTTGGCCCCAGAGGGGAGATCTAGGAGTTGATAAGGGGACAATTTTAGGCTCCATGTCAGGAAAAGTACTCTACCACTGGTACTGCCTCCAAGTAGAACGGGCAGGCTTCCCCTTTCTTGAGGTTTTCAAGCAGAAGCTGGGCTTGTTGAAGAGGCTGTGGGGGGAGGGGATGTCTGTTGAACCGGAAGGCTGTCCAAGGTCCCTTCCAATGCTAGGGCACTAAAAACCCCTCCATTTCTAGTGTGATTCCTCCCAGAACAGCTGAGTATAAGGGAATTCACTTGCATTAGGAATGGTCTCATTGGGGAATGGGTGACTTTTTTTGTAGTTGCTTGTGTTTTTGTGACTTTTTAAAAAAATTTAATTGGGGCAGCTAAGTGGAGTAGTGAATAGAGCACTCGTCCTGAAGTCAGAAGGACCTGAATTCAAATCCAACCTCAGACCAAATACTTGACACTCACTAGCTACGTGACCCTGGGCAAGTCACTTAACCCTAATTGCCTTTAAAAAAAATTTAATTTATAGAATAAAATGAAATGGGACGGGTGACTTTTTAAGAATGGCTTGAACTGTGGGGGTGTCTCAAGTTGTATGGCGTTTGCATTCGTATGTACTGGGCCAATGTTGCTCCAGCAAGGCCAAGATACACCTTAATCATCTTGCTTCCAACAGCATGTTAGAAAGGAATCAAATTAAGAGCTGTGATCAGACATTTCCGCGGAACACAGCCGTGGGCAGAGTTAGTTAATAGGTCTACTGGTGGCCCAGACATCAAGCACTTTGTGACGTTAGCTCATCATAGGAAGATGAATTCTTTCTGGGGAAAAATGGACCGACAGACAACAATCCACAGATTGGTAGGCTGCCCCCCACCCCCAATTTTGGCAAGATACGTGTTAATGCTTCTGAGCTTGGATGTCAATGTGGACTTCCAAGGCCTGGAATACCCCACCATCATTCACAAAAAAAAATGCTAGTGTGGGTGTTCAGGAAAAGATACATCTTCAGCTAGGCTGGGCCATGCTGGAAACTGCACAGGGCAAGATACAGCTTATTTTCACTTTTGAATCATTGGCCAAAGTAGACCCACAGCCCCAGGTGCACCGAGAAGACAACAAGTGTCCATGAGGAACAAGGTGAGTCAGTGCGGCCCTTCGGTGACCGAATGAAAAATAAACCTGGAAGTTAGAAACATCGATATGACTCTTGACAAGAGGTGGGGTTAGTCACACAAGGGTCTGTGAGCACTGTGGACTAGCTCACCCATATTAATCACTTAGGAAGTTTCAATTATTGCATTAGCCAGCAAGCAAGCAAGACAGAAAGCCTCCTCCTCTGACCGTGGTTCTGAGGAAGAGAAAAAGATAGGAAGAATTGGCACTGACAAAGACCAGACAGAAAGGAGAGGGCTGGTTACTGGGACAATGTTAACTTCGACAGAATTTAGTATGCTATTATCGATTAATCAATCAATAAACCTTTATTAAGCACCTAATTAAGCCTGGGATAGCTTCTCAGTATGTTCAGAAGAGCCCAACACAGTGCTATTGCTCCCTGGGGGACTATAGAGGTCCTCTGGTCCAACCCTCACATTTTACAGATGGGGAAACTGAGTCAGGGAAGGGACTTGCTCAAGGTCTCACAGATAGATGAGCGAGGATCTGAACCCACACTCTCAGATTCCAAATCTAACTCTCCTTACATTCTAATACACTGTCTCCATTTAAAAAAAAAAAAAGAAATAGAATAAATCTACTCTATTTCTAAAGGACCTGAGATAATGAAGACAACAGATTATAGCCGAGTACAGGTTTAAAAACTGGGCACATGCAAGTTGACTGTGCTGAAGGCAGACCTTGGTGAGTTCACACTAACCAAGTCATTTCAGTTATTCTAGCCAGGAATTCAGACTATTTAGAAAGAGGATTATTCATTTCTTTCCTAGGGCTTAAACTAAGCCAAAGACAAGAAGGTTCCTTTCCCCATGCCTGCCCTCCCCAGGAAAAAAAATGAATCCCAATTTTTTTTCAGAAGGGGGGAGGGGATATGGAGAAGTGTCTACACTTGGGTTTAATTTTAAAAGATAGAGTCTGGGGTTGCAGACAACATTTTGAATAAAGTAAGCAGAAAGCAACCGAGAGTGTAAGATACTAAGAATTCTTCCTCTGAATTACTGGTTCCATAACTTTGGTATTCTGGGCAGGGGACATAGCTGAGACCCCAGCGAGGGCTTTTTTGCCCCAAATAAGCTACCCCCCCCCAAAAAAAAAGGGCTCAGCAAAGTAACAGACAAGTTTCAGTTGTCCTAACGTTTCAGATCTGCTGGTGTGTTCAGCCTGGTTTTTTGGCAGTGGGAGTGGGGTTTAGAGTTATCCCAGCCTGGGGAACACAGAGGCCAGAATGAATAAGACAAAGGCAGAGACTCCTAGTGATCCAGAAAATGTGCCTTGGAGCTCATCTCCACCCCACCCTCCCTCCAGGAAGGGAGGCTTACTCATTCTTGAAACAAAGATTTCTCCGTCATAGAGCCTGAGGTGAGATGGGGTATTGGGCCAGATGAGGTACCAGTCAACCTCTGAGCTCTTTCAAGAACTCCCAGATCTTTCAGAAGGGGGCATCGGCCCATCTTTCCCGGGCTTCCAAAATGACTCGTCATGACTTCCCCACGCCAAGGAGAATGGGGAAAAAAAATAGATTATCTAGGAGCCCTACCATAAAGAGACTTAGTGATGGAAGGGTTCTAGTCCAATTCTCTCATCTTACAAAGGGGGAAACTGAGGCCTACAGATAAAAAGGAATTGGCCCGAGCCCACAGAGCTGAGTACCAGAGCTGGGGCTAATGCTCATAGTGTTTATCTGTTAGACCACATTGCCTCTTACTAAAGGAAAGTCACTCTATTCCTGCTGTACCACCCACCCCCTAGCTGCTATACTGCCCCCTCCTGAAAATTACTTTACATCAATTGTCAGGATTTTTTTTTAAAATGAGATCTGTGATTTCACCGGTATAAGGAAATTCTGAAATGCCACCTACCTAACATAGATCAGTATCATAGAACCTTAGAGATCTGACTGAGGCCCTGAGAGTTTTAAGTGATCTATCCAGGGTTACGCGTTGGAGGACTCCTCCTAATGCCTTCCTTTACAGAAGCAGAAATTGGAATTCCAGCCCCCTCCTCTCTGCATCTGCTGCTCTTTCTGGTTTCAACTCCACCAAATAAGCTAGCCCCTGATGTCCTCATTGTCACCCCCACGCCGGGCCCCCACCCCTTTCAGCTCCCTTTCATGTGTCATCTTCTCTTGTTAGACTGTGAGTTCCTTGAGGGCAAGAACTGTCTTTATCTTATTTGTAGCCATCGCTTGGCACAGTACCTGGCACACAGCAGGCGCTTAATAAATGTTTACTGAATTGAACTGAAAGAAGGAAGACTAGAACTCAGGTCTTCCTGACTCTGAGGCCTGGCCTCTTCTTATTCATTTGTTTTTTAGATGCTTTGTAACTACTTATCGCCTTATTTCCTCCCAGTAGAATGTCAACTTCTTGAGGGCAGGGACGGTTTTGTTTCTTTGTCTTGGCATCCCCAGTGCCAGCACACAGCAGTCACTTAATAAATGTTTGAATTGAATAACTGGGTAACATTTTATTCATCCAACTGAATTAGCAGGTCCTCAATAGATAGGGGTTGAACTGAACTGCTGTTACTGTGGTTCACTAGTTTTTTTCAGTCATGTCTGACTCTTCAGGACCCCATTTGGGGTTTTCTTGGCAGAGATACTGGAGTGGTTTGCCATTTCCTTCTCCAGTTCTTTTTACAGACGAGGAAACTGAGGCAAACAGGGTGAAGTGACTTGCCCAGGGTCACACAAGCTAGGAAGTGACTGAGTCTGGATTTGAACTCAGTTCTTCCCGACTCTAGGTCCAGCGTTTTGTCCACTGAACCACCCAGCTGCCCTATTTAAGTAAATTGTTATTGTTGTTCATTGAGCACCTACTAATTCAATGGAATAAAATGTTGCCTAGTAATTCAATTCAACAAACATTTTTTAAGTATCTACTATTGGTCAGGCACTATGTTGGACATGGGGGAGGATACCAATGGGAAAAAAAAAAACTAGCCACCAACAATCCCTTCCCTCAGGGAGCTTACATTCTACCAGAACTGATTTTTGGTTACGATGCATAATTGAAAATGTTTGAAAAGTGTATTTCAATAAACACGGTAAGGTCCCATAATTTTACATTTGGAAGTTTTCTGCACTTAGATCTTTCATTAATTCAGACTAGCCTCCCTTTCCCCTCCCTGCCCCACAAGCCCCCACCCCATTCTTCACCCACTTGGTTGTACTGTCCTGAGCTTTTCTTTAGCTGAATGGTTTGCTTGCTTCCATGCAGGAAGGGGGAGAGGATGTCCAAGTCAACTCCTTTCCAGCCCTTCCCCTAATTCCTGAGAGGTGTAATCTGCCTCGACGGCTGGCAGGAGTACACACCTTGATGGAAAGCAGAGCACAGAGCAAACATCAAATTGAATTTTTAGTCTAGTGTGTTCTGTCTACTCTGGTTTGTGAAGGCCCCAGGAAGCCTGTATGACTCTGAAAAGAAACTATTTTCTGCATGAGAAGCCTTGCTTTAGAGATTCTCATGGGGGTGGCGGCTCACTTCAGGTATGGGAAAAAACATGACAGCATCTTGGACATTTGCTAAGACCCTACCCAGACCAGGGGTTCTTAACTTTCTTTGTGTCCCGAACCCCCTTTGGCAGTCTGGTGAAGCCTATGGACCCCTCCTCAGAATCCTGCTTTTAAATAGATCAAATAAAATCCACAGGAATCCAAAGGAAACCAACTCTATTGAAATACAGTTATCAAACTGTTGTTTTTTTTTTTTAAATAAGTTCACAGGCCCCAGGTCAAGAATCCCTGTCCTAGACTAAGCCCAGATGTCCGTATGCGAAACCCATTTCAAGTCGCTGCCAGGAATGCCTCTGAGATATCCAGAGAAGACGGAAGTTCGAAGGGCAAGGAGCAGAAGGAAGAAAGGCAGGGAGTCTTAAAGAGAGCCATGGAAAGTAGAAGCAGCAAAGTCAGTTTCTCATCCTGTCCCTGCCCCAAAGAAAGAGTGAGAGAAGGCTCCCCGAATGGCGTGGGGATGAGCCCGCCAGCCTAAGCAGCTTTCCTCCGCAGAAGGGACCTGGCCAGAGCCTGGGAAGGACCAGCCGAGAATGGGCTCTAGGTCGCTCCTTCCCCCTCTCTCCAGGGCGGAAGCTGGCCAAGAGGCCAAGAAGGTCAGAAGAAGCGCAAGCTGGGCCGGCACTAACCTGATTCTTGATGATGAGGATGAGAGTGATGATGATGAGAAGACAGCCAACGGCATTTAAGACGTACTGAAAGTACTGTGCCAGCTTGGGTATCAAGACCAGTCTGTTATAGAACACGTTGAGGGTCTGGCCTTCCATGGCACCACGCTAGAAAGCAAGAAGAGATAATGAGAGGGCCAATGGGGCACAGCCAACACGTACCCCTCAGGGGCGGAGAATACAACAGGACGGGAAGCTTTCCACCTTACAAATCCAGTCCACCAGCACTGAGGAAGCCTCTACCATGCTCCAGACACACATGCTAAGCACCAGGGATACAAAGAAAGGCAAAAACAGTCCCTCAAGGAGCTTGTGGTCTAATGGCAGAAACAGCATGCCCACGCAAACAACCACACACACCCACACACACATATGCAATTTAGAAATAATCTATATAATATTATATATTTATATATTGATTATATATGTTTATTATATATAAATACATGTTTATATTCTATATCTACATATAATTAATACATATATATATTCTGATGGGCCTCAGAGAGTTAATTTAATACAAAGCCATGAAACAGTATAAACCTTTTTGTATCATAGGCCCCTTGGGCAGTCTAGTGAAGCAGAATCATGTTTTTAATTTCATAAAAATGCAGAGGATTAACCAATTATATAGAATATATTTTATGTACATATAATATATATATAGTATATTATGTATATGTGGTTATTTACATGCTGCTGTAAGACAAAAATATGTGTCTATGTGTATATACATACAGACATGTGTGTAAATATGTCTATGTGCATACATATACACATAGTAATACATATTATATGTAATGTGTGTGTGTGTGTGTGTGTGTGTGTGTGTGTGTGTGTGTGTGTGTG